GCACAGCTCCCCGAGGCTGGGGGGGGCAGGGGGCTTTAGCTCAGCAGGCTGCACCTGAGCCACGACTCCCCCCAAACACAAAGCTTGGCTTTCCTGAAGTCAGTTGGCTTTGCTAATGACTCACGGGCTGCAGCTCAGCCAGCTCTTGAACATTTCACAAGCTACTGCACAAGTCTCAGCAGTAAACAGCCTGCCGTGGAAAAGAAGGACAAGAGCAACTGCCAATACTTGCGTGTAGGAGGCAACGCGAAGGAAAAACAGGCTGGGCTTGACAAGGCCCTTGCACTCTCGTATACAAAAAGGAGCTGGGTTTGCATTCAAGAAGACACAGGAGAACTGGGAACTTCCCTCACAGGAGCATTACCTGATACAAACATACGCTCCTTGATCCCGTTAGCATCCTTGCAGGCAGGGCAGGTTGGAGCTCTGTCCAGGCGCTACGCTGTCCGGAGGTCCAAGGAAAATTAGATAAGGAATGAACACTGCTGCAATCAGAGTTAAAGTCTTTGAGCTCTCAGTGTGGAGTATTACATTGGGCCCGGGGAAACAGTGCCGCATCGCATCCTCTGTGGGCAGCGCACCCACCGAGGGATGTCTGCAGAGCAGGGAGATGGTTATTTACCTACGTTTTCCAGAGTGGCCATTCTCCAGAGCCTGTAAAATTCTCACCCTTCAGCGCAAGGGTTTTCACGGCACAGCAGTGCTTCTTGTGCTTGGCATCATACACAGGAGGCAAATGTCCCAGCTCCCAGTTCATCCCAGTGATCAGGCAGGCTGGTACTGTGCCACACTTTCGCAGAAGCCTAGTCTTAAAGGCTCCTTGGTACTTGCAGAAATGAGACAGCAGCAGTGTGCTGCATCCTGGGAGATGGTCACTTTTGGTCCTTGTCAGGGACATCTTTTAGCCAATTATGGACAGGAAACAAGGTTGAGGGCATTTTAAGCATTGCAAAATATCAGTTGAGTCTCCCTGGAGCAGCTGGGCAAGACATGTGGGTTTCAGGGAAGTGTGGGAACTCGAGTGAAAAGGAAGAATACCCCAGACAGCACCCGGTGAAACACGTCTGCAGCGTGCTCCTCACGCCTAGGAGCTGACAGTATTTTCTATTTTTATTCAGTCACTAAGAAACAATGAAGGGAACTATATATGGGAAAGTAATTGAACTCCAGAGAAATCGGGAGGTAAGCAGTGCTGGGGGTGCTCTAATCCCCAGGGCTATACTTACAGCAGCAAGAGACATTTTGTTGAGAAGCTGAGCTCGAGACTTCTCCCCTCCATTCCTCGCAGCCCCCTGCTCCTGCTCCCCTCTTGGAGTCAATTATAGCAAGGCAGTGCGGTGAGACAGGCTTCTGCCCTCCCTGGGCCTGGTGAGCGTGCCTTTGTGCCGTTCCTTGCCCTGCTCCATCCAGCAAAGCCTGGGGAAGGAGGACTTTGGTTTAGAAGATAAGCTGTGCAGTATTTGGTTTCAAGAGTCCATCGAATAACACAGCTAATCAGTAAATGGTTTTTTAGCTCGCTAGGCTGACAATCCTCAATTTCTGCTTAAATGTCTACTTAGTCTCAAGTTCCAAATGTTTTCTCAAAGTGACACAATCCGGCCAGTGGCACAAGAAGATGGGCAGATGCAGAAACCCAAACAGCACTCAATCATAAAAGCGGGTACCGAAGATTATAAACAGGGAGAGGTTTTAAAGAAACCTACATGAATAAACGCAGCTCAGTTCATTTATGGCATCACTTGTTTTGAAAGCTGTGGCTGATCTCACATTTGCTAGAACAAGATACTGTGTAGTACAGAGCCATGGTCTGTGGGCTGCATTGTAGACATAACTGGGGCCATGGAAAATGTGAAAGCGACACAAAGAAACAATGGAAAGTGATTGGCACAAAGACGGCAACAAGACTCAACAGCACCACTGGCACTTCGTTTGCTTTCAGCCAAAGAGGAGGGGGGAGCCTGCCACATACAAAAGCCTATTGAAAAGGTGTTTGTCCGAAGAAGCAGTGCCAAGACTTAGTTAGACTGGGCTCCAGCTGACTTACCGACCTCAAGAGAGGGGTCACTGAGATACACTGCACTGCTCCACGGTAAGGAGGAGCTACAGGGGCGCTTTTTAAACAGCCACAGCCAGGGCTATGGCTCAGGTTGGACAGGGAAGTGCAGGATAAAAGGTTTGCTTAAAGACTTAAAGGCATCCTGGACAGTCAGAAAAGATAGCAGCGAGCAGACAAAAAAGTAAAACGATCAAACTAAAAAGACCCCCTAAACCCACCACTCCATGCCAAAAAATAGGAGAGAAAAAGGACATGGGTCACAAGGCAGGTCACGAGCCAGCCTATCTGAATTTCAAAGCCTCAACAAGCTTTGAAAGCAGCAATATCCAGCTTTACTTGCTCTAGATGAAAAAGCAAGCTTCCCTTTCTGGTGCAGCTGGGCTGTGCACTGCACAGTGCTGTGACACCACTGGATCACAGCAACAGTTATTGCCTCTGAACCCAGAAGCCACAGCAGTAATACCTTGACATCACTGTACAAGGAAGTAGCAAGAACTATGCAGAACGTAGTGAGTCCCAGGAACAACTCGCACCTCTCACCTGAAAAATGCTTCTCAGAATAATTTGTAGTATCTTAGTTGCAAGTTAAATTAACTAGATTTCATTCTCTGTATCAGAGGAAGGGCTGACAGTTCAACTTCTTGCTTATAAAGAGCAGCAAATGTCAGAATCCAAATGTGTTTCTGATTCCTCAGTCAACATTATACACTACAGACAGAGTGGAACAAGTACAGAACATGGTGCTCTTGAGTAGATGCTAGAGAGCTGAACTAGAAAAGCACATCAAATACCTCCTTTCAAGTTCTATCTTTCAAAGACTGAAAAAAAAAAGTATTTTGTAGAAACAAGCACCTGCTGTTCAGTGTGGAGAGCTGAAGATAGTACAGTTTCAGAATCTCCGTGGAAGGAGTTTAAGCAGAAAGACAGGCCATGAACATTGGTCTCCTCCTGAAATCAGCAAACAAGAATAGCCCTTTTCTTCTCCTCCTGTTTGTGCAGCTGTAGTCTTGCTGGCAAGAGTGGAAGGAGAATGAGCTTGAAATCTGAGGGGGAAAAAAAAGAAAAAACAAAACCCAACAACAAAACCCACTGAGTTCCTGGGAAAAACAGCCTATCTCCTAGACTTGTGCATTAAAGCTTTTGCTTTGTTCCTAGATTCGTGTTCAGACACATCATTAGCATTCCCTGATCACTCCTTCCTCATCCGCTTTACATGCCAGTCCCAAGAGTAGGTTTTTTTTAAAAAATAATACATTGGGAAAAATTTGATAGTACACCTAAGAAATAACAACAGTCACATAGCAGCTACCACAGCACACCTCAGCTGGGGAGAGGGTATTAGCTACAAGGTGGACAACACCTGTTTTTTGTAAAGTTTGGATAGAAATTGTAACTTACCACCAGTTTTTGTCAATTAGCTCTGTATATGCTGTTCTGGCTGCCCAAACAGCTCCTCTTTGCTAGCAGCAACAAATAAGCACCTTGTTGAAAGAACACACAGCTGTTACCCAGGAACCTACTTAGCATACTCGTTTTCAAATCCAAGTTTAAAAAAATAATTAAAAAAAAGCAAGCATGGTAAACTGTTTTCCTAAAGCAAGGGAAAACAAACTGGGGGACGCTTTGTGCCAGAGCCATCCAGAGATAAAGAACTCGAGCAAATTGCCCCATCCTGCCCTGACGGGCATGTCCAACTGCTGAGGGGCACATTCAGCAACTGGTTTAACCAGCCAAGTACAGATCATTTTTTTGAAGTTAACACCATTGGCCTTTGGTTACAGAGATGCAGAAACTCAGTTTTACCATAGAAACACTTCTAGTGTCAGTATTTATTTTTACCTTAATATACATTTATACAGGCCATAATAAAAAGGCTATTACGCAACAGTTCAGTGAGTTATTACCTAGTTTCAAGAATAATGCATGCAATTACAAAGGAGAGGTAGAAACACCGTATTAAAGACCTAAAAATACAAACATTATATAAACAAACATTTTCAAATTAACTGTTGGAATTTCATACAGATAAATAAGGTAAAAAGTACATTACTCTGTCAAAGTAAAGGAAACACATGGTTATCCGAACACCGAAACAATATTTTGATGTAAGCCCTGTACAATTTTGTCAAACAGTTCAGACCACTGTGTTTAAGAGGATTAAAATGATTTTGTCCTGGAGAATGGTTTATTCAAGTATTCAAGCAGTTGAGTAACAAAAAAAGTCCCAAAAATAAAGTATAGGAACCATTTCCAGAGAAGCTGATCTGCCTAAATACTTTGCAAATCGCTGTCCTGATGATCTCATGGGATGCTTGAAATGATAACGCCTATAAGGCTAAATGAAGCTTCCCACCTCTCCCCCAAAATGCACACATAATAATCCTGATTTTTCACACACTGTATGTAGATATTCTACATCAATTTCTCAGCATCTCAAACTGCAACATTATTTTCTGGTTTTGCATGGTTCCTTGCAGAACCTTTCAGTTTACAGTATTCATTGTAATACTGCCCAAGAAACAAACTACAGAGAACTGTCATTACACCCCTACAGACTGCAGGCACTAATGCACATATCGCATGCACAACAAAAGATGCAACCAAATCTATACAAAAAGCAAACAACCAGCAACTCAACATTGCTATTACTGAGAAAGTCCAGAGCAGTAGTTACTCAAGTATTAGACAAATAGGTATAAAATGGAAAGGTTCACATGAATACAAGTTTTTACAGTTTGTTTGAAAGTCTTCTAGAAGCTACATTTGAAATTCTGAAAAGAATTTTATGTACACTGAAATGAAATTCAGCCAAGTCCGTTGTGCCTTCTTTCTCTAATTTTTTTTATATAGTTCTTCAAAAATGAATATACAGTTGCTTTAGTAAATTAGTGCAAAACAAAATATTTTGGAAGAAGATCATCAAATTGTATCCACATCAGCTGAAAACCCACTGGGGATTTTTCACAGATGGAGTGCAATTTCTTCCATTACCATCCTTCCCCTGTGTAAAAGAGCACTTTCTCGCCATCCCTTCATATGACAAGCTGAGCCATGTTTACAACATGTGAGCTCCGATACCAGCCAGCTTAGCCCCTAAAGCTTCAAACAGCACTTGCACATGGTTAGCGTTTCCCAAATTCACTCTGCCACATTTTACTGACAACTTAGAATTACTTTTCACGAACTTTTGAGGGAATCTTCTGAGGGAAATGTCTTTTTGTACCTGATGCAGAAGGATCCACTCTCTATAAACGTCATGAGGGAAAAAACCAACCCCTGATCATTCTAGTTCAAATCACATGTACAAGGATCAGTTTGAAATGTGAAGAGAGATTCTTTTAAATTCTGTTGCTAGGAAGAAAAAGGAGCTGCTGGATCGGTAAGGCAAGTGTACTTTTGGAATTTCTCCTCTTTGAATATGCTGCTGTTTCTTTGGTAGTCACCACAGAAATGTAAGAATCATCTTCCACATGGGGCAGAACAAGGACAACAATTAAGCTGTAGTGAAAAAAGTGCAGTATTACTGATGTGGTCCCTTATGTTCACACCATCTGGTCCTCGGGATATTCCTACTGCTCATATACAGCCACTGTGCTGTAGCAAAGTGCGGAAAGCCTTCGCTCGATGCTAGATTTATCTGCAAACAGAGAGAGGTAAAAAATAGGTGATGTCTTCAGTGTCACTTTACAATGCAGTAGTTCCATGTAGTTTTCAATATTTTCATTATTCAACATAAACTTACACTTGTGTACGTTTTCTATATCTGCAGGGTCTTGCAGTATCTTAGTCAGTCCTTCCAGCAGCAGGGCTGCTTTGTGGTATCGATATGTAATATCTTCAGTTTGCTGAAACATCTCATCCAGAGCTGCTGACTGAACCTGGAATCATTCAGGAGATTCAGTTACATAAACTGCATTAGGCAAGTAATGAAATAAAAAATTCAACATGAATAAGAAACTATTAAGTCATTAAGAAACTATTTTTGAGGCTTAATTTAGCTGATATGTTTTTATAACTGTAAGACAACAAAATGAAGTCTCAGAGAATATAGCGCCTGTGATGTATTAACTAAGGATATCCTGCACATATAAGCTATAAACGCACTTTCTGATCTTTTGTGTTTACAAGTGTTACAACAACATATGAATAAATATGCTTGTTCTTACGCCTACATTCTCTTGCAAAGAAGACAAATTAATTGTGCATGCCTACACCGTTATCAGAGTGAAGCACAATATTTGCCAGTATCTTCTGTGTGACACCTATGTTAAAAAGACTTCCCTCATCAAAAAAAGCTGTTAGGTTTCCTGGACGGTTCCTGTACTTGCTCCATGGCAGATAGAAAGTCTATCCATTACATGAAAAATCTTCCACATGTTTGCTACCATTTTTGCGTTGTATGGACAGGCTGATGTTCTTTAAATTGACTTGGTAGATTGATGAAGCTACTTCTGTTGCTTCTATTCTTTAGCAAGCCTTACTGGATGAGACTTCAGCACAAAGGGCTGTGTGGCTTAGGAGTTCATTTCCTAGTGTTTACGTACCAAATGTGCTGATGTAGGGGAAATGTCCCTGAAGAACAGTATCTGCCAGGAACTTCAGCCACAGTTAAGGCAGGACAGGAAAGAGTTAAAGACTAATAAAAATTACCATGAACACAATTCTAGAAGCATACATTCTGTTTTCTGGTTATGTAGAAGACGTACGCGAGAGGAGGTGGCAATTCATCTCCATGTGCTATCATTTAGGTAAAAGGAGTGACTTACCATTTCTACAGCACAGCTGTAGATGAGTTTCTCTGCAGTTACACTGTTGATTTCATCAATGAACCTTTGCTTGTCTGAAAAGAAACGATTCAACTTTTCCGTCAATTTCTTGCACATGCCAATACAGAATTTGTATCTCTCATTCAGGCTTTTCACAACTGGAAGAAAGGTAAGAAGAAATTAAAAAACAAACCAACAAACCACCAAACAACATAGCCTAAGTTCAGCACTAGCAAAGTCAATCTGTTTAAACTTGTGCTTTTAATGTTTATTTACTCTGCCACTTCTATGAATTAAGTATATATCAAATAATTTCCATTTCAAGTTTATAACTGCCCATTTCTTAACAGTTTCTACTGTATCTTTTACTATCAGAACTGTGCAATTGTACATATCTACAATTCTCTTGTACAGAAGAAAAACAAATGTTGCAACTTAAGCTTTTTGAGTGATGTATCAGCAAAGAAAAATCACAAGCAAAGCAAATTAGATTACATTGCATCTACCTTGCTTAACAGCAGTGGATGGATTCAGTTTCCCCGATTTGACCTGTGCTTTGGCAAGATGCAGAGAAGATGCTAGTAACTGGGCAGCTTTCATATACAACACCAGCTGCTCTACTTGTCTAGGGAAGGGGGGAAAAAAAAGAAATTATGTATCAAAACACCTTTCTTGAAGACATTCAAGCCACGGGCAGACACTTTTTAATCACAACCCTACATAGGACCCAGCAGCAGCAGCAGCAAAGGAAGACACATATTTAAAATGCAACTCCACCCTTCCCTTCACAAACACTCTGTCACGGGTTGAGAGTACATCTGCTCATCTAGTAGCTGCAGCAGCAAATACAAACTGCTTTAATGTAGACATTTTTAAAAAGAACACTTATTTGTGGGGACTAACTGCCTGAGGTCAATGTCTTACCACAAGCGACTGGGTGTACTTTTCTCACAGCGTCATTTCCTATGCCCCTGGAGTTCTCAGTTGTGAAAAGAAACACTTTGCAGGTTTTTTCTTTTGCTTGGTTTTGGTTTTTTGTTGGTTTTGTTTTGTTTTTTGGGAGGTGGTGGTGTTAGTTTTTTCAGGAAGAGGAACTACCCTTTCCCATCACTCCAAATTTCTCATATTTGTCCTTGCTTTCGATTTTGTATTAGGGCTGATTGGTTCAACTGAAGAAAGGTCAAATTTGGATACTCCTTGCCACTTCCCAACCTCCACCTCAGTGCTACTGCTTCAGCCTGGTCAACAGGAACAGATGAGGGCTCAGATCTGACAGAAGCTGGTACACAAATTTCCAAGTTTAGAAACGCACTGCTGCACCTCAAGCCTGTAACTCCTCACCACTTTCCTCAACTTATGTGGCAGGCCAGAAAACAATGTCCTGTCCTTTCCTTTCCAATGTCTCTGTATCCTTTGCTTTCTGACCTGCCTTCAGTTAAAAACTCATTCCTATAAAAGATTGGATACAGTAAAACAAGCACTCCCAAGAAAAAGGGCATAGTTTGAATACATTTTTGATGTATTCAATATTCACTAATTCTCTAGATACTATTTGACCGCATACTTACCCCCATTCTTTGCTTAGCTGGCTGATCTGATCAACAACTATGCTCTCCTGAATTTGGTACAGCGATACAGCAGAAGTACACAGGTCTGGGTTTCCTCCTCGTACTGCTGTCAGATCCAGAACACATTCTGTAAATGTCAGCATCATGTTTAGATGACGCAGTGTATCTGTATGTTCTCTCTGTCAGAGGGAAAGATGACAACACTTTAACCATCATAAGCCATGAGGCAAACAAGTACGCTTAAAACTCTTGCTACTTATTTGAAGATTTCTTGGTATGTCAATTCTATGCAGAGATCACACTGTAGTAGAGCCAGCACTAGGGACTACAGAACCAAATGGGTCCAAACAGATCAACAGATAAGATCTTGTTCTCTCTTTGTTGATGATTCTTATAGCTTATACTTGAGAGTCTTTCAACAAAGCCAAAGGAATTGGGACATGGAGTTCCATGTTTGTTGAAACCTGAGCAACTAAAGGAATCACAAGTGGGACATATTACTTGTTATTATACTATCAGCAACCCAAAAGTATGCTTGGCACTTGATTGAGAAGCCAAGGAGGAACATTTGGCTTTTATTCTATAACAGACTTGATACCTACAAGAGAACAGATCTAAAGCCTAATACTTATCTGCTTCACTCTAATTTACACTTAGATCTAGAATTATATTGTGTTAAAAGGTGGCTGTTGCCAAAATTTACAATTTAAACAACTTCAATTGGAGCTAACAACTTCTTGGTGACTAAAACAGATACTATACGCATTGCCTCTGCTCAAAAAAAGAGATAGCCTTCAAAACTAGTCAAACATATCTTAGCAATATTTATAATCTTTTCATTAGTAATGTAGGTCTAAATACATTTAAACTCTATCTGTGGGAAGAATAGAGTGTACTGTCAAACATTCACGTTGTAATATAGAGATTCAATAGGGATCCAAACACCTTCCAGCAAGATGTGAATGAGAAAACAGAACAGCAATCTGTCTCGAGACATCTACAGTCTAAGGATAGCATTCTGGTGAAAGACCACCCCAATTTGTGCTTTTAAAGTGTCACTCCTCCACACATTTTAAAAAAATATAGGACACTCTTCCCACAAGTAGGATTTAATGTCATCCACTGACTGTGAAGAAGCAGTTAAAAACAATGCCCAGAGGGATATTGCTACTGTCAGCACCCACGTCCAGAGACTTGGCGTTAAAACAGAGGCCTCTTTGGCAGGCTCTGGTGAACAAAAGCAGTCATGTTCCTTTGGTTACCTATTCAAATACACGAAATGCCAGGAATAGCTACCAAAGAGAAACTGGCCACAATTGATCCAGGAATATTTTCAAGATCTTAAAAAGGAGTATGTGAGATAGCGAAGAGGAAACTATGACGTGCACCGAGCAGTCCTGTTTTTACCATGTCTCTGTTTTAGCAGCATTATACGTTATAAAACATTAAATTATTTTTTTCTATACCTCCATTAAAGTTTCCTCAGGCAATTCAGGAGCTTCAAAAGTGATAAAGCCCTCTAAGCTGGGAGGCGAAGTACCATAAGGCATGTACTTCAGACTTGGAGCTGCCTCGGCTCCCGGAGGAGAAGAACCCATATAAATACCAGGAGGAGAGCCCATATATACACGGCCACTAGTAGAGCAGAGAGACCCTCCAGAACTGTTTGATCCAACTACAAGAAAAATAACACATACATTCAGTCTAATAGGTTGTTCCATCTCACAGCGCTGGGGCTGAGGATGACAGAAAATGACAAATCAGTAGTCATCACAGATTCACTCTTGGGAGGCTCTCCTCATTGTTCTTTGCATCACTCTGTAGAGAATGCAAAGGCTACACCGTAACGAACAGTGACAATTCATAACACAGATTCTGGGAAATGGCTGACAAGAATTCCAAGGCAGAGAGTCCAACAGTACAGACCACAGGTTGTGCTACAGTTCACAAAAGCACACTGCTGCAGACTCCTGCTCATCCTGAGTGGATGAAGGCCTTTACCTTGAGATCTTTATTATTTGGCAACATAGCCAACACATGCCAAAACGAAGTCAGCTCACACTCCTTGTGTGTTGTTTCTGGTACAACGCACAGCAGCAGGCAAAAATGCAGAATCAGAAATCCAACTTTTCTTCTCCACCTTTGTCACAGAGATCTATTATACTCCGTGTGGTGGAGTAAAGCTGTGTATGCAGGAGCTTACACACTTCTGTATTGTAAATCCACGCCTCTGGCTCTCTCTTTATGAGAGGAGAGGCAGAAGTCATTTGATATTAATCTCTATTTTACACAGCAGTTTTTCTGTACAGCCTAGAGGACCTACTGTGCAAAGCAGTAATCAAGTTACTGGCCCAAGAAGTGGACAAGCCTAAATACTGTGTTTGAGAACAGTCTGAAGGTGTCAGGAAAGTCTTACCTGAGGTGGTTCTTGTTCTGAGGACCATATGGGTGCAGGTAGGAGGGGTGGCGCTGCTGGGGGGGGACCCAACAGTAAACATGACAGCCCGAGAACTTGCCCCGCTTCCCATGGAAGGAGGTGCCATTGCAATTCCATAGGCCCCTGCTGGAGCTGGAAGAGAGAGTTTCAGCAAGTTAGTCTCTATTAGATATAATCAGACCAATAAGTAATTATATGCAACAAATTAAAGCACTGCAACACAACATGCTTTGATGTAGATCCGAGATTTGGATTAGTTAGAAGTTCTGACAACAAATAAAACAAGCTGAATGGATAGCCTTGGTGATACACAGAAAGAGTCTGGATGCAGTCTTCATACATCTTTCTACTTTCAATCTCTCTCTGCTCTACCCTTGCCTAGAAAAGACCAATAGAAGCTCTCTCTGAGAGCCTGAGGACACCACCAGTCCTGCAGCAAAAGATACAACAGAAAAATTCTAAAGGCAGACCATGACAGATCTGGAGGCTGAAGACCAGCTCTGTCTGCAGAACTCCTTCCATCTGCTCAAAAACGAGGTGAGAACTTTTGGTGGCCACTTGGGGCAAGAGACAAGCTGGGGGAGAGAGGAGGAAAAAAACTGACCCAGAATTATATAAACTGGCTTTCATATGAAAACAAGGTGGAATTAGGAAATGAAACAGCCACAAACATTGTATTAAAAATAAAACCAAATCAAAAAACCCCAAACCCCTCTAGTCAGTATAGGCAGTTGAGATTTCGATGTTTAGCACTGAAATAGATATTTTCCTGTCTCAGTTATTTTTAAAGCTATGCTAAAGAAATGGAACACATCCCCTTAAAGATTAAAAAAAGCCTTCTGTGCTGAGGCTAAAAATTGTCAGAACCAATTATCAAAGTTGGAAGCAGAACTGTATCTAGTTGGCACTCCATAAGAAACCTAGCACATAAAGACAGCTTGGATATATCAATCTGTTCTTTACCTGTATCCATTGGTCGCTCTGTATTGAGGCTGTCTGTACTGCCTTGATATAACTGGCCACCAAGGGTAGTCTTTACCTGCTGATCTGATAGCTTCCCAGTACTAACAGACCTAGATACAGAAATGTAGGAATTCACAACACAGTTCTTCAGTAAGATCTTCCTATCTAACTTGCAACTAAGAATGACTTTCAGATTCTTGGTATTTATTATAGAGAATTCTTCAACAGAAGTATAGAAAGTCTTAAAATCTCCCTGTTCATCATGGATCGACTGAAATAGAGCTAATCATAAAAATAAAGAGAACTTTTTATCTTAAAAATTTATATTGCAAATTTTTTTGTCGTATAGATTTTCAAGCAAAAACTGAACAGGCCTCACAGAGACAATGAAGTTCTATATTCAGATAATCAAAACAAAGGGAACTAGACAGCAACACAAAGCACTCCAGGAAGTCCATGCTATATTTATACACAGTACAAAATGTTTCTGTTGTATACACCAAACCTCAGCATCTCGTCACAGCTCACTTTTTGCACGCTCTTGCCCTCCAAGTCGCTGCGTGCAATATACATTCTTCTGCCAAGTTACCTACCCAGCTTTACAGGTTATAAATACTACAATGCCCACCTGCCGAATGTAGTTTTACTGTGCTGTTCTCCTGCCTGCTTTTCACCTCCCGGGGTCAAGTGGAAGTGCGTGAAATCCCTTGGGTCAGCGATGTCTTTAGGCTGCAACGGTGTATCTACCGAGCCCTGGCGATTAGCCAGGGCCAGCAAATTTGAGGATGCCTGAGTTTTAGGTATTTTGAAAGGAGCTGTTGCCTTTAGGAATCAAGACCAAGAATACACAAAAACCAAAGTTAGAACCCCCAAATATTCTTGGAAATGGTTTCAGGCAGTGTGTTACCACTTCACAGTTTACTGACAGTGGCAAACCTAACAAACCTTAGTAGGAGAGCCAATGATGGTTGGTAATGGATTTTTGAACAGCCAGTCTGAACTCCTCGGTGACGATCCCATATGTTTGGTAGGTGATGTTCCCAGGCTACCTGGCCTGCTTGGCTGTGGAGAATGACTGTATCCATACCCAGCATAGGATGGGCATACTGGGTCTGAATGCTGCTTTCTGAGCTTCTGCTTGTTTTGGTAAATATCTGTGAGAGTAGGAGCACTCTGCAACCTCGCTCCCATCAAAAGTGACTGTGGAGACTGAGATGGTGGTATTGGAGAACCTGTGGGGATGAAAAACAATGAAGTTAAATTTTACTTGCAGTGCTTGGAAAACATATCAATGAAGCCCAAAATGCCAGAGATCAACGTTAAACTGAATGGAGATGGGACTGCAAGTATCACGAGATATGTTTGATCATCAACTCACTAGATGGCAAGGAGAATGGATTTAGCTTGTCAGCTATTTAGACTAAGGCTACATTACATTGATGAGATGCTCAAGCTGCCAAATAGGCAAGATTTCAGGGTGACAGCTGTACTGGCAGGGGGGGGACCCCC